CCACTCGCCTCTATCCAAAATAGGCCAGCAATTTGGGTCTTTTTGTGAAAGAAATACCCCAAAGTATTATACTTTGGGGCATAAATGATCTACTGTATAAACGATTAGTTCCAAATTCGCGATTTATAGAAATGTTTCCGTGATCCCTCCTGATTATGGCATGTCTTATTGTAAAAGCCCCTTGGGATCACAAAATATTAATGAGCTCTCGCCCAGGAATCCAACAATTTGGTGGAATGCACCCATTTGATCATGAAAAATGAAAATTGAACTTAACTCTGTCTCTAAGGGCACCCCCTATTTCTACCAGTAATGAGGCGACGGCGCAAGCACAATGCGACGGCACAATACAAAGGCACAACGCGACGCCACAATGTTACGTCACAACAGCACGATGTAATGCATTATACACAGCACAAAAGTAATGAGAAAAGGGTTAAAACCATAGCGCGATGGGACGATGCCACAGAGCTGTCATAGCGTCGCATCGTGGCATCACGTCGTAGTGTCGGGGCAACGGGACGATGCGACGCAGATTTGCTGGATACAGAACACCATAAAACTGGTCCAAACCCAAAGTGCTTTATAAGTTAAAATTGGTAATAGACATGAACCTACTTTCAGGGTCATAGTCTCCGACACAATTGTATTCCTCAAAACATGAACCGGTAATGTCATGCAGCACCCGAGCGCCCACTGGCAACAGGTTGAAAAATTTAAAAATCTATTTTGAATAGACGTCTATGGCAAAATTGTTGGAATCGCTTGAAACTGGTAGATAAAATTACCTTTATGCCTTTATTTGCAACCTTTATTTGCAAAAGTTCTGTCGGTAATGAAAATAAACTTTAATTCATTAAAACTTGGAAAGAAATCAAGCCCAACAGCTATGGACTGAAATTATCCATAGGGGTAAGAGCTGTAGCACTAAGAGCCATATCCTTTGTAATGTAAAGCATATGATGGAGTTACACTGTTTCGGGGCCTCTGGCAAATGTGCCAACCACATGGCAGGGAAAGCGTGTGAGCATGTTTTGTCATGATCCTGTGGATTTATCACAGTAAACTGAATCAGCCTGGAGTGCAATTGCTGTAGCAAGGAGGGTAGCGGTCCCAAAGCCCAAATTTGATTCCAGCCCATTGTATATTCTTAAGTGTATGTCGGATCTCACCATGCATGTACTGTGTGTTAAATTTTGAACTGCTGACTTAACCACAGCTGTTTGATTCCGGCCTTTTTTTTATCCAACCGAAAGAGTTCCTGAAACAGCTCAGTGTTTGTCCAGTGACAAACACAACATTTGTCTCATTTCTTATTATACTGGTTTTGAGTTATAACATCATGCATCATAAGCAAATACATTTCTGCACAGCTCATTGATAATTTTATTGCTAAACATGTGAATATTTTTCACATGTAAATTACATTATTATAATGTGTAGTATTATACATTCATAGGCCTACCTGTCAATGAAGAAATTTTGCACTTCATTTGGAAAGTTGCTCTGAAACTCAGCAATAGTATGTGTTCGTCCGGAGACCCCTAGATGGAGTAAAAATTTGCCCGGTGCTTCTGGTTTATCCCAGATTGGTGTTCCTGAGTCTGTCTGACTTTGTGCCCTCTCAGCCTCATCCAATTCTCTGCTAGATTTGACATACTTGATTGGTGGTAGGGTCTGGTAATGCTGAAAGTCTGGATTATCATTGCAGTTGGAGTTCAGAGTACAACACAGCTTGCTGTTCGTCTTGGTCTGCTATTGACAGAAGTTGGTAAGAAAATGCACAGCTGTGTTAGACAAAAACCAACTAACAAATTCACAGCATTTGTCTCTGATCCCATTTGTTTTTGCTGAAATTTGTCATTTCAGTTTGAGGTGACACTGAAATTGACAAATTGTATCACTTAATGACAACATTATTTACTAACAGGGAAGGTCAGGTTGAAGTGCACAAGCATTTACAATTTAGTAAGTGCCTTCTTGGGTAATACAAGGTTTGTGAATACAGGGCATTATGTACGTATACTGGCAAACTGAGTGATACTACACACTCACCGATAGTTTTCCTGTCTATAAAAACATATGTAGTGCTTTCTTATGGGGAGTTATTCTAGGCAGGTTTGCTATAGACAGTTTTGTGACAAAAGAAGGATCAATTTCGGACAGTTAAGCCAATCAGATGTCTAGTTCTTTGACCAATGGATGATCAAATTTTAAGAAGGCTTCAGGCAATGTATGAGACTGTAGGACTGTAGGTAGCATTGTTGGGCTTGGACCAATGGAGCCAGGGTTTCTTTAGCAGTTTTGAGCTTTTAGGTGGGAAGAAATCCATGCACTCACTTTTGTCCCAGCCTTCAACAGGATAGTAACTCATTTTAAGTGGTGCAAATAAAATGAAATATTTTCCCCACAATGCAATCATCCCAGCTCCCACCATTATCAGTATGGACATTATTCATGCAGAATAAACCAGCTCAGTAATAATGGCTAAACTTTACTCTGGCCAGCAAATTAACAAGTAGTTTTATACAACGCACATTTGTAGATTAACCACTTGCTGCCAGGAAGCCCAGTTTCGGATATGTTTTCTTTATACGTACTATTGGGGTGCCCAAAATCAGACAAAGGGAACAAAAGACCGTGCTTGGAACAAAAGACCAGGCTGCTGGGAATTGCCAACCCTTTTTCAGTTGTCAATAGCGGAGGTAATCCACCATCGTTGTTGAATTCAATGCAAGTGGATTACAACCAGGGACAAAAGTGCTCCACTGCTGCAGCGATGACCCATACAATACCGCTGCAAGCTAATCTGGCTGCATTAGAAAAGATGCCAGCAGAGCACTGGGCCAGTTTCGGGAACAAAGGAAAATTATGCAACAACGCACAATATGGGCTCACTTTACAAGGCGGCAGGCCTGGCTGAAAAACTTGAGCGTCAATAGATGATGTCTGTCAGATTCATATGCAGCAAGGTATGAGACGGAGAGAACCCCCCCTGCTTTGTGTTGGTCATTGTCTCGCAGGAATCTGGGGAATTCCTTTCAGACATCTTGGAGGGCTGTGTTAAGTAACAATAGTCTGGAATGTGTATAGGGATTGGACATGTTAGGGGGGTACCCCTCGGTCTCATTTCTTGCTGGGTATAGTCAGATTAGAGTAGCCACCACATTTTGAAAAAGAACAAAGGAAAATCACCCAGCCCAGCAGAATAAACATGGATAAATGGGCCCGGCGCGAAGTGGTTAAGGCAGGGTTATGAAGCAGAAGTCACTTTTCCTTTTGGTACAGGCAACAACTTTTCCCCTCAGTAGTGCAACAGGGAAGAAGAAACTTTTTTTCCTTCTGTATGTTCAAATACTGGATAAGAATGGTGCCTGCAGAAAGTGTAATGTGTATCCGATGACAAATGTTCTAAAATTTATATGATGTATTGTGGCATTGTCTCCATTTAACAATTAATTTCTTGGAAAGGATAACTGGCTTATTATAATATCCAGCAATATTATGCCTAATAATGTTACAATTATGATAATCACGTGTTCATGTGTTTGATGACACTGAACTTCCTTCTGTGCTGCCCCCCTTGCATTGAGCTGTGGTGCTCCTTGAGCTTTTGGTGCCCACACTATGCTAGGTCTTGTTTGATATATAATTGTGACACACAGTTGTGTGATCCTCAAGCAAAATGACCCTGAAAAAGTATAAATTCTGTATCTAATAAACTTTGGCTAAGGCGTGGAGTCACACAGAACTGGTGTATTTTTTTTTGTTACTTGTCTGCTTATAAAGTTGTGCTGAATAACACTGTCATCACTTAATGGATCACTCTGAAAATGTAAAAACTGTAGAACTGTGTACCTGAGACCTGTCTGTGGATTTGAAGTAAAAAAGGTTTTCAAGATAATCACGAGAGAAGGTCTGTTATTTCAAAGCAGCAAAAAATACTAATTGCAGCAACTTAAGCTGTAAAACCCCTCAAATGATTCTTTGAGAGGTAAACACTGAACCTGGTAATTAGGATGAACACAGTGGTTAATTAGCTCAAATCAATTAGTAAAGGCTCATGTTCATTCGTGAACATACGAAATCCATGTGTTCCTTACACTGACCCCCCCCTTTTGTTCAATGTACATTTCCATAGGGAAGGGGCACACATTTTCACCAGCACAGCTGTAAATGTGAAACAAATATGCATTTTTTGGGTAAAAACAAAAATCTTAACTGACCTACTTTTCAGCCCTTCCAGGCAAGAAGTACTGTACATGTACAAAGGGCAGTCAGATTTTTTTCACGAAAGTGCAAACATTCATGTAATTTTGACATCATTGATGTTTTGCTAGTGGAGGCATGTCAAAATGGTCATGTACAAAATTTTCAAACAAAAAAAGTGTACACAATTTAAAATAAAAACAACTGTAATTGTTTACATTTCTGCTGCTTTTTAAAAATGGTTACAATGTACATGTATGTTATAGAACATGAAATGCACACTGCTTGTTCATCATAACAATTTGACAGTTGGGCTGGAGGTGTGGTGCCCTGACAGGTAAATTTTCGGTGAAACTGCAGTTTTGTAATTGTGTCTATATACAAGCCCTGCAATTCCATCTGGGATAGTATCTTTTGTATGTGCTCACAAAGTACAGAAACCTTTTGTGCAGGCATGCAGATCCGGAGTCGGACAGTGTCTATCTCTAACCTAAGGTGTGAAAGGGATTGAGTGGGCCCTGTTTTTTCCTCTGCTAATGGAATCCCTGGTCTTGGTACATGTATATGTACCTCCATGAATGTGACAAGCAGACACGCACATGTCTCATAAGCAACAACAAATCATCCATATAATGTGTATGGGATTTTGCCACCTGAGCCCGAAACTCCAAAATGTACTAACTCAAACAAAAACCCCAAAATAGAACATCCTATGAGCAAGCACTTACTGAAGTAAAAGTTACCCTCAAACTTGAGACCTAGTAATTCATAATTTACTGGACTAACTCACAAAAGGCGAAAGGCCGACTTAAATCTTACTTTGCTAACTAAGCACCAGGTCCCATCTTCATTACTAACTTAACTGCCATACTGAACGGCACATACTGCACAATGCATTTGTCTTTGTCACTGAAATCCTTCTGGATATTAGAATGATTCTGGGTCAGCCACTGCTGTAAAACATCGGCATTAACTGGTAATGGTGGGTCAAAAATTAAAAACACCAGACAAGCCTGCCAACCCGGCAGCAGCAGAAGTTGAGGCTGACTGAGAATGAATGCTGGGCCATGCAATGGCAGGGGAATGCCCAGTGGGCTTACCCCTAGTGTTGGTACCCAGTCCTCTGCACTTGGCCCAACCAATTTACAGCTATGCACACTATGGCAAAGAGGTAACCTTCAGGCCTTTTAAACCTAAAGTAAACCTCTTAACCCCGGATGCAAGCCTGTGCCCTGACCAATGGCATGTTTGATATATTCTACACTACCTGCGGACGGTAACCCCTGAGACCCCATGGAGGCTGCAGCTACCATTCATTCCTTTGTATCTGTTCATCCAACAGCGCATTTAGCACCAATTACAGGACAAAGTTACAATTAAGAAGACAATGAAGAACTGTTCAGTTTTAGAGGTGGGAGGATGATGATGGAGTCTGCAAAGGGCTGAAAACCCAATCAACATGCTGACCTATTTGGGATTCAAACCTAGGTTGCAGAGGTGGAAGGCGAGGAAAAAGGAAACTAACTTACCAGGGTGTACATTTGAACAATCCGTATTTCACTGTCCGAAGGACAACCGGAAGTTATGGCCATCAATTCAGTGGCCTGATATCTAGGAGTATCTCTTGGAAACAACCAGCGTTTATACAAAAGAGGCCATATGGGCCTACAAGTCACTTGAAGCTTATAATCATTTCATTTGTGGTAATGTACTACCATTGTAAGTTATGAAAACAGAGAGTGGTGTGTGCTTTGTGCGGGGAAAAGTTCTTCTGAGTCAAAGACAAGGCGACTGTGCTACTCTGTATTATGCTTGGATTTGTGGCAAAGTAGGACAAAATATTTCTTCAGCAGTAAAAGCAAATCGCAGTTGTATATCTGGGTAGGTAATTTCATTTTCTTGAAGTAGCATTCATGTATTTGTCTCGTGACTTGGTACAAATTAATGCTGACTATGTGCACCAAGTGGTTGTTGATGTTGTCAATGTCACATGAACAAATTTTGTTTTTGGTGTTTATCTTTTTGTCTTGTAGGTAATGTGCCGTCTGGACTATTTTATTCACAAGCATGTTGACAGTTGTTGCGACCTTGTGAGACTACTCATGCTTCTTGGCCTACATGGGCAATCACATGACCCAGACATGCCAGAGCTAGATTCAACATTGAAATTGTTTATTGATTGTCAGGTTGGGATGTGCATGTAGTCATGTGGCAGCCCTCCTTTTCAAACTGGGGGCCAGTGTAAGATGTGGGATAAAGGAAGTTGCATCCATGAGTGAAGAAAAGTAAGTGGAATCTGGTCTCCAAATCAAAGGGGTGAATGGTCTTCAGATCAGATTCCAATCGAATGGATGGAAATGTTATTTTTATGGCAAAACAATATTGCTAAGCTGACAAGGAAACATGCCCAGAATATGCCCTTTGCCATGATCAGCAACTTTAACTCAGGTGTTTGTCATTCTGTCTCAGTTTTCTTCCTTTGTAACTTTTATTTGTAACACCCACTGCATTTTCACCGAGAATTTTCAAAAGAATAAAAAAGCTTC